TAGTTATTTAGGACTAGACTCTTACATACTCTTATTGTTAACACATCTGGTAGAGCTGGGGTGACGCGCTCTTCATTTGAGGGATAAGGCCCGCCTGTAAGGTTTTTAGTGAACATTTTTATCAACTTCTAGAGAACCCTTTTAGTAACACTTATGGAGTATTCAAAAATTAGTCATCAAAGTCTGGACTGAAAAATACAAATATTCTAACTTAACCTAGATGACAAACATGTAATTTTGAACTTTTAATTATTGCTAGTTTGTTCCTCATCAATTTGTTCATACGTAATATATTTATTGGCCAGGCAGTTAGTATTCCTGCAGTTAGTTATTTTCTATGTTCATTATTTTCTTGCCAGTAATACTCTCTGCGACATTTGCGGCATGCATGTGAATAGCAGGCCATGAAGTAAAAGGAAAAGGGTAAAAGTTAGGAGTAATTATAAAATTCAGATTTACTCTTTTTGTTACATATATTTTGTTCTAAGTTGTCGTTGACCAGTAGGACCTCTTGAACAGTCCATTTTCCTGTTTGAGCAATATTGGCCTGTTTGTTTGCGTTTTCATTCGTTTTTCACGGTTTTCAAAGCAAAAAAATGAAAACGGGTGTTAAAAACGTGTTTGGTGCAATTTTTTTTAAAAAACAAAACCAAAAACGTTTTTGTTTACTAATCTTCTCGCGCTCAAGTCCCCCGACATGTTGGACACTTGCTCGTCTTTGCTCCTATGGCCAGTCTGCTTTAAACAAACAAATTCAATTCTCTGCTCTTTATTCGTGTTAGAAACTGTAGCTATAATCTATATGGGCCTGTTTAGTTCGCTAATTCGAGTTCTTAATTCGAGTTGAGATGTGACTTTATGTGAGAGCTTTTTACTGTAACAAAAAAGTTAGATGTGACTGTTTCTGAGAGCTTTTTACTATAATAAAATTTGAATTCTAAACTCGAATTGGTAAAATGAACGGGCTATATATATGTTCCATCACCCTGCTTGGTAATTAGCTTTTTTGCAGAAGACCTACCAATTTTTCACAAGATGGTACACCAGCCTTTCTTTTATCATACCATGCATTCGCGTGAGTATTTTATCAAGAATTGGATGATGAAAAATTATTCTGAACCGTTGAAATTTGAATGGTTTTTGTCAAGTGGAATTCATCAATAAAAAGAATAACAATTCTTATGCCTGAAAATTCGTTGCACGGTAGTTTAAGTCCTAGTTTTTACCTCCAATTTTCTTAGGCTTTGTTTGGTATGAAGGATGTTGAGAGGAATGATGGGGAATGTGAAAGGTGGAGAAGATTATGTTAATTATTTATGTTGTTTGGTAAGAAGGATGAAAAGTTAAAATGATAGATAAATGAATATTTGTTTAATTACTATATCGTCTTTTTTATAACTGCATATTAAATTTTTTGAATGATGAAATAGTCTTTTTCAATCTTTAATCGGTGGATTGCATGACTATTTCCATGAGCAGAAGGATGCAAAATAGTGAGCTTGGAGGTAGAGAGCCCCCTCTACCTCTCCTCTCCATCTTAATCTCCCTCAAACCAAACAACGGATTAGAGCTCTCCTTACATCTCTCTACCTCCACCTCTCTCCCTCCCTCTATCTCTCCTTCCTATCAAACACAATCTTAAAGCCAATAGGATTTGAAAATAAGACCAGTAAGACTTCATTTGCTTCACGAATTAGAATTGTGTGGTTTTAAACTTTTTAGTGTTTGAATCAAAAGTTTTGATCTATTTGGATTTATTCGGTTCAAACTAATATTTAGAAGTGGGAAGTTTAAATAAGGAATAAAACATCACATTAGAGAATAAAAGTTTGAACTAATGTTTAGTTAGTATAGAATTGTGAGTAAACTAGAAATAGAATTGTGATTTTAAATCAAAAATACTGTAGCAAATAGGTTCAAACACATGAAAACTTAAAGGGGTTAATTTGTCTAAGAACTATAATTTTGAGTTCACATGGGTTCTCAACCATATTTCAGGTTCAAATTTTTAAGTTTTAATGGGTTGTAAACCAGAAATTGAGTTCAAATCAGAGCCATGGGTTGTAAACCCGCAAAACGGACAGGCACTAAGTTTATACTCGTGGCATCCCCCCTTTTCTCACAAGCATCATAGTTGAAACTTTCAAATTCAAAAAACAGAAATGGTTTTTTTAGTACTAATTCTACTTGGGACAATGACTGAAAGCCTATTAATTTTCTTTGAGGTGTTATCTGCAATATGGATCACACCAAATGAAATAATGAATTTGAGAGAAGGAGTAAACCAGACAGCCACAATTTTTAGAGGTGAGGTTTATTTTTTCTCGGTTTTGGGTTTATTGTTTATGTAAATGTAAAACTATAAAATAAGACAGAGACCAAGCTAGAATGTCCTAAATTCTGCAGACTTTATTGCCATATTATACATCCAAGCTTTATGTATAACAAAGTCAATCCGTACTAAAAATGGAGATCTAGGGAAACTAAGCACTGGAAATTAGAGTCTGTAACAAAATGACTTGTTCGTTCAGCAATTTTCTCATTTGTTTTTAGTTTTTCTAGGAAAAAAAAAAGAAAGAAAAAGCTTAGATCAAATCTCAGTTTGGTTGAAGTGAATCTATTGGCTGCCAAGCATGATACAAAACCGCCTCTCTTTTTTTTTTAATGCCATGATTTTCAGTGATGATTCACAGTAGTTAAGGCTTTTAAATTCTTGACAAAAATTTCACCAGAGTTTTTGGTTGAACTTGAAACCAGACCAGACAACAACTACAATTATTATTATTATTTTTCGTGATTCTGTAGTTCCAATGTGGGTGTGAACCAAAGTGATTGCTATTGACATGAATAGCCGTGTTTTGATGATTTGATGCTAAGCTTACGTCTCAGTTCAAAGAGTACAACAAAAAATTTATGCTATTTGACCCTTTTGTTTCTCCTCTTTTTGATTATCTAACTTATTTGTTCTATCTTAAAAGTATTCCATAGTAAAAGTACCTAAATTGGACTTCTGTTTTGTATGGTTGTCATGAGAAAATACATATTTGGCTTTTCAACTAAAAAAAAAAAAAAGCAACGTTCAGATTTTATTTGGAGATTAATAAAAGTTACTGCATGACAAATATTTTGCCATTAGTAAAGACATTTAAAAATGACTAACATTATGTAACCCACAACCCTTTGGCTTAAAGTTGGAAAGAGCATTTTTTTTCTCTCTCTCTCTCTTTGAGTTGGAGTGGTAAATATAATATATTTAAAAAAAATAATGGTAAAGGTTTTTTTTTATGATGAGGTTATAGTTAGATCATCCTATCTTGTAAATAAAGTAATTTGAAAAGTAATGCATTGTGCCGTGGCTAAATAAGGCATGTTTAGTTTGCTAATTTGAGTTTTTAATTCGGGTTAATATGTGATTTTATGTAAAATCTTTTTATTATAGTAAAAAAATTAGATGTTACTATTTTTTAGAGCTTTTTATTATAACAAAACTCAAATCGGTGAAATAAACGGGGCCTAAGTTTTTAGTATTTTCTTCTTTTCTCTTCTTTGTTAAAAGTCTTTTCAATATGAAATCAATTAACTCAACTTGTGTACAAATGATAACTGATAAAACTTGATAGCACTCATTTATCAACGGAAGATGTCAAATAGAAATGAAAAATTCAAGTCTTTGTTTTAGCGTATAATATAATCATTAAAGACTATAATCCATCATGTACATTATAATTTATAGATAATCCATCATTATTTGCATGCTTGATCACAATTTAACTGCCAGCACCTATTAACTTTGAGAGATTAACATAAAGTAAAGGATTTTCAATACTAAATAGCGTTCTTACAATTTTGATTTAATCTAATAGTTAAAAACTATATCCTACTAATAACATTTTTTTTCCAAGCCTTAAAAAGAATTCTCCAAATTCTCACCTACTATACATAATGATAATAAACCTGTCTAAAAAGTAAATAAGATATATGTAGAAAGATGAAACTTTCTCTCTCTACCAAAATCTCCCAATAATTAGGGGTGGCAATTCATATTACCGTGTTGTGTTGACCCTCCCAGTTAACATGAACGCAACTTATTTATTATTCGTGTTAAAATACAAAACCCAAACACGACATGTATATTGACGGGTTGACACAACACGATTAACCAATTTATTAAACATGTCATAACAGTATCGTGTCAACCTATCTCTAATAACTCGTTTATAAAATGAGTGATAATAAGGTTGTGTCAACTTATTTCTCAACATAGATAACAAACATGTTGTAATTGTGTTACGTATTCGTGTTACTCAAATATGACACGTTTAATAAACAAATTACAACGAGTCAATTACGGATTGGCGAGTCGACTAGAAAACGACATGCTATTTAATTGTATTTCAAGAGATTGACCTATTTTTGACCTAAATTTATTTATGATAAATTAAAATTCACTAATTTCGTACGGATTTCAAACCATAATATCGTATCGTTATTGAATTGTCAGCCCTATCAACAACCCCCTCCTCTTTCCGATTATCCAAAAAAAAAAAATCCCTCCGACTCTCTCTCTCTCTACACATATTTGAGCTGTGACAAAGATGTTATCAAATAAATATCAATATCTTTTGACCCTACCTTGGCTTCAAAAATTAGCAAAAACCTCTCTTAGTTGCCATGACAGAATACAGGTTATTAATCTCTAACCCCCCACAATCACTTCAATCACATCATCCACGAATCTCTCTTTCTCTCTCTCACACACACGCATGCACAAAGAACATACACAGTGATATAGAGAGAGAAACTCACAGAGACAATACATGGATCCAAAAAACACTTGCTACTAAAAATTCACACTGACCAAACGACCACATTCTCCTCCCACACACCTTAACACAAGGACAAACAAAACAAAACACAATGCACTTCTGTTCGTTCTCACTCTTCTTCCTCACCCTTGCCAACCTAACTCTTCATGGCCAGGCCTAGAATGCAAACCAGATATGACTAGTACTAAAAACGACGACAACAATATTCTCCACGTCTCAAGGCTTGACTTTGGCAATCCACCTTACCCCACTTGCAAGAAAACGACAACTTTCCCTTTCCAAATCTTCAATCTTCCTTATCTCCAATCCGTTTTCTTCTTCAATTGTTTCACCATCACCAACCCCAATCTTGTTTCCAACTCTTCTTTTGCTTCTTCTTCTACACTTCAGCAGCTTAGTCTCCGGTCGAACCCGGCTCTAACCGGTCCAATCCCACCGGAGATTTCTCATCTGAAATCGTTAAAAATCCTTACATTGTCTCAGAACCGCCTCTCAGGCACAATCCCAGAAGAGATTTTCTCCTTGACCAATTTAGTGCACCTTGATTTGAGCTACAACATGCTCACAGGCAGTGTCTCAGACCAATTGGGCAATCTCAAAAACCTTGTGGGGCTTGATTTGAGCTACAACATGATTAGAAACACAATCCCAAGCACAATTGGCCAACTGGGTCTGCTTCAAAAGCTTGACTTGAGCTCCAATTTGCTCACTGGTGGGATTCCTAGTACTATTGGGAAGCTCAATTCATTGGTGTTTTTGGCCTTGAGCAACAACCATTTGAGTGGGAAATTCCCACAAGAAATAGAGAATTTAGAGAGCTTGCAGTATTTCATAATGGATGAGAGAATCCCATGTCCATGAATTTTCTGCCATTGGAGCTTGGTAAGCTTGTGAGGCTACAAGAGCTAAGGCTTGCTGATTCTGGCTACTCTGGAACCATACCAGAGAGCTTTTCACAGCTGAAGAATCTGACCACTTTGTCCTTGCAAAACAAGAAATTGACAGGAGAGATTCCAAGAGGTTTTGGGGGTCTCCCACATATTTACCACTTGAATCTGAGCAGGAATTTCTTGGGTGGAATTGTGCCTTTCAATGCAAGTTTCTTGAACAGGCTGGGAAGGAATCTAGATCTTAGTGGGAATCTAGGACTTTGTTTGAGTTCCTCTGAGGCTTATAGTGTGAAGATTGGAGTTACTATTTGTGGAAGAAACAAGATTAATGGTGGCTCTGATGATCTCAAACAGCCCTTGATGAGCTCTCATGCTCCTCCATTTGGCAATAAATTTTTTCTTCCTAGTGGTTTTGGTGTCTTGGTCTTGCATCAGATGTTGTTTCTTCTAGTGTGATTTTAGAATATTAGGGAGATGTTTGTTTCCTGCATTTCTTGATTTTGAATCACGATTCATGATTCTTTACGGTGTTTTTTTCTAAAAAAAAAAACACCCGTAAAATAAGAATGATTCTGAATCATGATTTTAAATCTATGAACCAAACATCTACTAATTCTAACATGTTGTAATGTTTATGTCATGACCATAGGGATGTTCTTTCTGAACATGTTGAATTTACAACTGTCTTACATAGGATTTATTGGGATTTTGCAGGATCTGATATTGTAGATGCATAAGAATCAACTAAAAACTTAACAGAAATCTCGGTCTTTTTTCTGATGTATGTATCAACTTTTCTTCTATAGCTAAGTAATTTTAGTTTGAGGCATTGTTCAAAATATAGTGATTTAATGATGTCAGTGCCTTACTATAGGCTTTTCAGAGAGAAATCTCAATAATTCATTTGGCATCAAGTATCAAAGGAAAATTGCCACCATTCCAATTATTTTGTTTGGTAAGGGTCCTTTATTTTTATCTTTTTTTTTTGTTGTTGGTAGTTCTGCAAATAGTTTTTTCCTTTAAATATGGTGTCCCTTATTTTGACCACTTTTCTTGAGAGGGTTCCATACGCTTGCAAGAGAGAACATCATTTGGTACTATCTTAGGAACACATTGTGCTTTCTCTGAGTAATTTCTTTGAATGTCACAAGACTCATGTTTGTCCAATTAAAGGATCCTGCAAAAATATAAAGGTGGGACAATTGCTTTGGTGGGGACATCAAATTGAGGGAGAAAAACTCACCCAATTGTAGATCTGCATTTACATTGATAAGATTCTCAATGGGAAAAAAATAATTGAATCTACAGTGTAAATGCACATAGTTCATGACTTGAGATCATTATAGCATTTATAAAGGATAAAATCAAGTGCATGAGATGGTAGTGTAACAGCTTAGAATACATTATAGGTGGAACCAAGTGTTATTTAGTCTAATTCATAAAATTTATACGGCGATTTTTGTGCAAGTATGATTCTAAACTATGTTTTATTAAGTTACGTTAAATTATCTTATATTGTTATATTTTATTTGATTTGATAATACTTTTAGAAAAATATTTCAACGCAACTACAATGTTAAACACCACACTAATAGAAGGTCTGTGAGCCTCTTTCAGGGAAACTCACCTTCTATTACTAGCTAGTATACAACATTAATGGTAGCTTATAACATTAGTCATACTCCTAATGCCATTTACGGTTCAAAACTGTATACTAACACTATGATATATTTTTTGGTACGGACCATGTTATTCTCCAATTTATATTTGGAATTTAGTGTGTAAATATTGCTTAGTTTGAAATTGGAAAAGAGCACATGAAGAAGTGGGGCTTCTTAGGACAAGAGGTGTAGACCTATGATGAAACAAGACTATGGTGACGTTTGGTAAGAGAATTCGTACCCTAATTCGAATTATAATTTATAATTCGTTATATTATTTTTTCTTATAAAAAATACACACAAATTAAAAATAATTTTAATCTTATAATTCTAATTTATGAACAAACGTAGCTGACTTCAAAGGACAAAATAAGATTTGTAAGAGCTGGAACTCAATTCCCACCCACCCTATTTCCCTTTTCCCTCCTGGAGGCTAGAGCTGCAAAATTAAAATTGCTCTACTATTTGTATACAGTATAATGAGGTACAATTTAGCTGCCTACTCTATTGTTTTCTTGCTCTGTTTCACTATTTACCCACTAACCACAATAACTTTTGGATTCCAAAATTATCCTCATGATGGAGATAAATAGTGATGAAGCTATAAATTTTTATTGGAACTTGGTAGGAATCTATAATTAGAAAATAATAATAGTAAGATTATAAGATCAAATTTTTAATGTTTAATGTGGATTTTGTGCATATTGATATAATAAATTATACACACATATATATATTTATGTTTTTTTTTAAAAAATAAATTCACTGGGGTTAAACCTCGCTTGGTTCCGTTCATGGAGATAAGAAAGATTAGCACAGTTGTACTCCAAATCTGTGTAGATAGGTAGAAAATTATTAGTTCTAACCCCTTTTTACTTTAAACATCCATATTCATTCAAAATACTTGTTTACCATTTGTTGACGGCTGAATTTCGCCAACAAAATTATGTCGGGTTATTTCTTGGTACTCTGTTGGGTTATCGGCCTGAAATCGTTATAAATTTGGGTTAATGTTGCTAAAGTACTTTTTGTAGTGTGGTAATTTAAGAAGTGCGAAAGTGATACTTGAATGAATGTAAAAGGCACACAAGATTTATAGTGGTTCACTCTGTTAATCAAGAGTTACATCCACTGTGTATTGTATATATCTTTTTTCTACTTTTATTACCTCTGAAAAAGATCCCCTCGATCCTTTAGGGCTTTGCCCCTTTTATAGCCCAAAGATTACTTCTTGGGCAGTTCTTCTTTGTAGGCTTATCTACTCGAGTGGCCTACTACCTTATGGGCCCAAATCATAGCCTGTCAATACCTTTTGTACTGTTCACTCATCCAATTTATCCCCTATTACGGCTCTGCAAATTCTATAATCCTCAACCGTCCGTTACAGGCGATTTTAGGGGCTCATAATTAATCCTTGCGCTACTGACATCTTTTGAACCCATATGCAACCTGCATGTGTTAGGGATCTTTATTGAGGTACTCCGTAACCCGTATTCTGCCATCGACGCCTATACTAGCAAACAAGGCGCAGCTTCGTTCGGCTGACTCTTGTGGCGCTTCCAATGCACAATTTATACAGGCCTCGATGGTCTCGAATGGTCAGTGGTCTAAGAATTCGTTCATACACTTAGCCTTTCTAATCATTCAGAAGGAAAATAAGGTATAGATGTTGATTGCTATCTGACGTGACAAATACAGAGTCATATAGAGCGCTATCGCCGTCCAACATATTAGTGCACATTTTTCCACATAACACCATTGTAATATAAATATCAAAGTTTAAAAACATTGACTAGACAAGAGATAGTTTTTGTATTAAAAAAATTAATACAAAAATTAATACAATTTGCTCCATTTATGAACCTCTGACCCAGATAGATTCCCTTCACAATGTGGGCAACTATTCTGAAAAAGAATCAAATCCAACTTCCTGTTTTATACACCAGAACAAACAAGTAGAATCCAAAAATCAAGGAGATCTATTTTTCTTCCATTACCTAAGAGGGAAAAAAAGTAGAAGTTTCCTCCTCAGTCACAAGTCACACCCTAACTTTTATCATTTTTTCATGTTTGCACCTCCGAAATACATCATGAATAGGCATTGCTGTGTCACCCTCATGAATGATTTTCTAACAAAGTGAAATTAACAAAATGACATTCTTCTAATTTTTTATGAAGAAAGACATTTACTCATTGTCACCCTTTACCGCCACTGCACCGCTTGCTTTTGTTTGGACTCTGACAGTATTATATTAAGTACTATTATATTGGGTAGTGGTATTTACATTCTTTCTTCTCTTTTTTTGATTGACTCATATTGAGTATTGACATTGCTATCTCTCCCTCATCTTTGGTTGGTTGAATTCTCCACCTCTTGTGCATTTTCTCTATTCTTTAATTGGTCCATGTTAGACATTGACATTAGTATTAATATTGGCATTGACATCAATATTAGTATCGGTATTGACATCGGTATCGGTATTGACATCGGTAGAAAGTTAAGAATTATTTATAAAGTCGTATTTTAGTTTTTAGTTTTTTTTAATTGGCAAACTCTTAATGTTTCTTACATGCGCATTATAAATTTAAAATGAGTTGTTAACGATATTTATTTTTGTTTTAAAATTAAGATTGATTATTTAGTTATTTATCTTTATTAATAAAAGTAATTTAATATTTTATTATTATGTTTGTAGAGTTATATAAAACCTTCTTTATTAATTTATTCAAAGAATTAAATTTTCTCTTCAATTACAATTGAATTTTAACATTACGATTATTTTTTTATTATTTTATTTTGCACCGGGTATTTCTCACACTCACGTGCGGGTCATCTGCAACATAATCAAACAAAGCACCAGATTTAGAGGGTTTACTATTTGTTTTTTTCTTTTGACCATCCCTTTTCTCTTTCTTCATGCCCATCTTTCTTTTTTTTTTTCTTTTTTTTTTTTTCCTTCGCTTTGAGCCTCTGTGCACATGCGGTGAAGTGAAGTTTGGGGAAGACAAAAACCTGTAGCAAATCTTGTGAGGTGCAGTGGCGGTAAAGGGTGTATGGTGGGGAGAAGTCAATTCTACATGCAATTTTCATGGCAAAGTCTTTTTCTTTTCAAATTTGAAATGGTTATATCTGAAATCAATAAGAACCTATACTTGAAATTAGTGGTAATGTGATTTTAGGTGTTTTTAGTTTGCCCTTAAATCTTGTTAGCGTACATGTGATTTAGATTGTTTGGCCAAGAGTTTCAATAGAAGATGTACAAACCTTAATTTGCGATTGGTAATTTTTCTCGAACGAGAAGGAAAACTCTGCAAAGAAAGTAGCGATAAATTTATCTGTTTTTTTTTTTTTTTTTTTTTTTTTGGGGGCGAACACCTATTTCACTAGAAGAGAATCGAAATATTTAATTATTTAAAAGAACAATTATAAAAAGTGGAATATCTAATTTCAAAGAATTTCACTTGTCTTCCTCTACTCTCATAGGCATCATCACCGTTCATCATTTCTTTGAACTCACGAACCAACTCTCTGCACATTTCAAAGCCAGAAGGTATTGAGATTTTTTTTGAGTCTAATACGTTTTTTTTTTTTTCTTTCTTTCTAAACGAGATCAATTTCATAACTGACCAATTTAAAGTTGAAATTCGTAAAAAAGCTAAACAATTTTGCTACAAATCTATTTAGAAGACTAAATATAGCACTCCCACTCTTCTGCATTTTTTCTTTTATACAAAACTCACTTGTTTTCCTAGTTGCTGCGAAGGGAGAAGAAGGATAGAAAGAGAGAGAAAAGGGGTTGGATGGTGGATCGCAGAAAAAAAAATTTATGTTTGGTAGAGGGATTCGTTCTTGATTCGAATCATGATTCATGGTTCGTTACAGTATTTTTTCTCATAAAAAATTGACGTAAATAAAAAATAGTTCAAATCACATGATTTTGAATCCTTCAATTAAACGTCCTAATCTCGTTCATTTTACTGATTTGAAGTTTTAGATTTAAATTTTTATAGTTAAAAACTTTAAAAAAAATATCACATTTTATTTTTTTTATTACAGTTAAAAACTCTTAAAAAAATATTAAATTTTAACTTGAATTGAAAACTCAAATTCTCAGTAAGATAAAGTAAATTTTATTTTGATTTTTTTAATGAATTTACATTTTTCAAAGCACTTATTTATTTATTTTTTTAAAATGATGTCAGTCCCACAGAAAACCCAAATCAGCAGCCACTTCAGCTATCCACCTCAATGCCACGTGGGATGGTAAGGGACACCACTGCTGCCCCTAGCTTTACTCATATGAAAATGCATCATCAGTCCATAGTTAACGGAAAAGAGAATGACAAAGGGCCGTTCATTTTATCGATTCGAGTTTAAAATTTGAATTTTGTTATAGTAAAAAATTCTTAAAAATAATTATATTTAACTTTTTTACTACAGTAAAAAGCTCTCACACAAAATCACATCTCAACTGGAATTACAAACTCGAATCAGCGAAGTGAACGGGCCCAAATAACACATCATGTTTTCAGGTGTAAAAACACTAATGAAGAGAAAAAATTGAGATTGAATTGATGTGAGGGTGGCTGTGCAGAAACATCCCGCCCGATCAGAATCACTCAAACCCAACAATGCGATCACTATCATATCGACACCCAAAGTCGACGGGTTTAAAAAAAAATTTTGTCTGAACCAAATGATAACACCCTAAAGTTTAGTAATCAAGAATAGAAAAATCTCCATTAAATAATAAATCTAATTTATTAAATTAATAATCTCGTTAAATGCATAAAATATATTAAAAAAATTGTAGAAAATAAGCATACGTTTATAATTTATGAAAATAAATGGCCAATTTATTAATTTATAAAAATTAATAGAACATTTCATGTTTTTAATTTTTAATTTTTTAATTTTACCCTTTTCTTACTATTTTTTTTCCCTTTCCTTTGGTAAATTTTTAGGTATATCCATGATTTACCAAGTTATATTCACTTGAACAAACAGGAATAGTACATTTTACTTGGTAAATTTAGGATTTACTAAATTCGTATTACTAGGGAAAAAAGTATAAATTATAATGGTAAATTCTTAATATCCCTGATAAATCTATAATTTATAAAGTTTGTATTAATACGAAAAAAGTGAAAAATCTAATAGTAAATCCTATATATACTTAGTAAATTCTAGATTTACCAAGTTCGTATTACTATGGGAAAAGAATACTATAAATTTTAATGGTAAATTTCAGATATTCGTATTAATATGGAAAAAGTGAAAAATCTATTGTTAAACTCTCAATATACTAAGTTCGTATTACGAGAAAAAAAGAAAAATCTAATGGTATATACCTGGTAAATTTAGGATTTACCAAGTTCGTGTTAGTAAGAAAAAAGTAAAAAAATCTAATAGCAAATCTCGAATTTACCAAGTTCATATTAATAGGGGAAAAGAACACTACAAATTCTAATAGTAAATTTCATATATACATGGTAAATCATGGATTTACCAAGTTCGTATTAATAATGGGAAATAACACTATAAATTTTAATGGTAAATCTCAGATATATTTGGTAAATCATGGACTTACCAAGTTTGTTTTACTTGAGAAATGTTAAAAATTTAATGGTAAATAGGGGAAAAGAACACTATAATTTCTAATGGTAAATCACATATATACTTGATAAATCTTAGATTTATCAAGTTCGTATTAGTAGGAAAAAAGTGAAAAATCTAATGGTAAATCTCCGATACACTTGATAAATTCCAGATTTACTGAGCTCGTATTAGTAGGAAAAAAGTGAAAAGTCTAATGGTAAATTCATGATATACCTGGTAACTCTCGGACTAACTAAGTTCATATTCCTAGAGAAAAAGTGAAAAATCTAATGATATATCCCGAATATACTTGGTAAATCCAAGATTTACCAAGTTAGTATTAATAGGGGAAAAGAACAATACAAATTCTAATGGTAAATTCAGATATACCTAGTAAATTCTAGATTTACCAAGTTCGTAGTAGTAGAAAAAAGTAAAAAATCTAATGGTAAATCCCGAATATCTTGGATTTACTGAGTTCATATTAGTAGGGAAAAAACACTACAAATTATAACGGTAAATCTCAAATTTACTAAGTTCGTATTACTAGGGAAATAATGAAAAATCTAATGGTAAATCTCGGATATATTTACTGAGATTTTGAAATTTCAGCTCATTGTAAATTCAAATTTACATCACATTGATCTATTTATTAACTTTTTTTAAACATTAATTATTAATTTTAATTAGAAAAAATAGAGAATTTATTTTTGAGAGTGCATGAGTCTGTACTTTACCTAGACTTTACCTCTTATTTTTGATAAATATCCTTTTGTTAGTGTAATTATTTGACTAAAAGTTTATAAATTAAGAATAAAAATTCTGACTCGTACACTTTCAAAAAGTATTTATTAAAATTAACCATTTTAATTTCTCCCAAATCTTGGCTTATTTTCCTCTAATCTCCAAATTAGTGCCAACAATGTTTCACTACCGAGCCTATCATCTCCTAAGCTGACCAATAATGGGCCAAAGTAAACTCTTAAGCCCGCATCTGATAGAGTAATTTGTGAATGGGCTTGTTCCTCCAATTCAACTGTTGAAACCCGACATTTCGCACTTCGTCGCAGTATCGCCCATCGACGCCATGGCTTCGAAGCTCCCGAACCAACTCCGAGCTCTCTACGCATCCACCACCCGTCACCGGCTTCTCTCTCCTCGATTCCCGAACCTCAACGAAGTTTTCCGAGACCTCCTTCTCGGTTCCAATGGCAGACTCTTCTCGGACGCCCCATCTCCTCCCCAAGTTTCTTTTTCTCCGTCGACTCCGGTTCCTCCGCCTTCTGGTCCAAACACTTCGGCTCCGTCGTCGTTGAATCAGAAAGAGCTAGTTGAGTTCTTCGCCAGTGCCGAAACCTGGTGAGCTCGATGTTCTCTGTTTGATTTGGAAATTGGAATTTCAATGAACTATTGAGAAGATTCTTAAAAATTAACATTTTTTTGTGTATTTGTATTTTCGTGGTATAATTAGGTGGGATTCTGAGGGTCCGTTTAGACCATTGCATGCCATGAATCCTACGAGACTCGCTTTCATTCGCTCCACGCTTTGCCGGCATTTCGGGTATATAATTGTTTTTTTTTTCTTTTTTTAATGAAGATGAGTTCGTGCACTGGAAATTTGGTTTCTTTTTGTGATATTCGATTCATTGCTTCAGGAGGGATCCATGTTCTCCTAGGGCTTTCGAAGGACTGAAATTTGTTGATGTTGGTTGGTGTGGTGGAATTCTTTCAGAGGTATATTTTTAGGAAATAATAACGAAATGCTGTATTTCACTTTTATATATATATATATGTATATACGTAAATATATATTTATGTATGTATTTATATATGCTGTGCTTGTCCTTATGTTTCACAAATCGTGTTAAAACCTTCTCAGAGAGGAGATTTTTAACACGATCTGTAAAGACGTAGGTTATGATATTAACACGGTTTATAAAACCTTAACATGATTTGTAAAACATAGGGTATATGTTGTAGCATTCCTAAAAATGGAATGTAATATTTCGATAAAACACAGGGAATGTGTTTGTTATTAAGCCTATTTTCAGTCCTATTCCTGCCATATTCTCTTTAGAATTTGTTTGTGCGGAGTTATTTTTGTAGCTTACCATTTTTCAGATTGTTTCTAGGAATAAAAAATCTTTATCAAGTAGCTATGTATGTCAATCCTTGATTCTACGTGCAATGATGTTCAATATGAATACTGTTTATTTTTATTTTTATAAATAATTTGTAATGATCTCGATTTATCAATTTCTTACACCTTCAGCCTCTAGCGCGGATGGGAGCTACCGTGACAGGAGTTGATGCTGTGGAGAAAAATATCAAAATTGCGCGCCTTCATGCTGTACGGAAACCTTCTAATTTAAAACCTCTGTTAATGTATTGCAAGTCTGTTGTCATTATTGGTGCATATTTTGTTAAAAATTTCATCTAACGTTCCAATATTTGCCTCCAAGAGATTTTCTGATTTTCTTTCTTTAACGGACGTGTTTCATTTTAATTGGCATTTTGTATGTGTGTTGAACATCTGGAGAATAATAAGCCATACACGAGAGAGGAGCAGGAAAGAGCATCTTTCTGTTTGATTTCCCTGGCACTTCAGCTTCATTATTATCAAATTTCGGTGTTTCCAGTGATGTTAATTTTTACTTCTGCCACCAATGTAGTATTCATGAATTGTTGAGTGAATTTTTTATTTTCATATGATTCTTTTTCACTTAATTATGGTACATTGCTCCTTGAACAGGATTTGGATCCATTGACTTCAACAATTGAGTATTGTTGCACAACAGCCGGTACTTGCCAAACTTGTTTATTGCCTGTGTAGGTCTAATTCTGGAAATCTCTGCCAATTATTTGTGCAAATTAGCAGTTATGTTGCATCATTCAGAAACGTGGTTATCAGCCTCATATGTGGTGATGGGTATTCATTTGGGTTCATATGAAATTTATCTTGAAGATGTTAAGAAAGAAGAAGTTTTTGCTTTTCTTTCTCATACTGTAACTTGAAGCATCACGTGCGAAAAGCTTTTCTTTTAAGCCCTTTTTTTTTTTGGGTATATAGATTGTAGATGTTAAATTGGTTCAAGTGTATACAACATTTTCCATTCTGATAAAGAACGTTAAAATTTGTCACGTGTCTTCATCATCGTAGTTAAGTTGGCCTTGTAATTATTGGTAAGGAAGTTTGAGTCTTGTAGCTCTGTTTCTTCTGAATTTTATATGTTCAAGTCCTTGTGTGTGCGTGCGTGTGTGAATTTTATCATAATTACAGAAGCTTCTTCTTTGTTATTATGAACAGAAAAGCTGGTTGAAGAGCAGAGAAATTTTGATGCTGTGATTTCTTTAGAGGTGTGTTCTCCTTCCCAGGTTCATTGAGATTATGATTTACTTATGAAATTGAACTTCTTGTGCTGCGCTGTGAGTTACTCAATGCCATCTTAAATTAGAATCCAATTTGTTCTGTAAATTAAATTTTACTTAAGGTGATTTAAGGTGATTGAGCACGTAGCAGACCCTGCTGAATTCTGCAAGTCTCTGGCCGCATTAACCGTTGCTAATGGAGCTACTGTGATTTCAACCATTAACCGATCTATGAGAGCTTATGCTACCGCCATCGTCGCTGCCGAGTATATACTCCATTGGGTATTCAATCTCTCTCTATGACAGCTCATTATCTGTTGCTTCTTACCATTTAGCATGCCATTGATTCTCTTCACATGACATTCACCATCCATGAAGAAGATCTCCAGTTGTGCAATTGTGCTCCAGTGTTTATGATAGAAATCAAAGACAGACTTGACGGGTGAAAAAGAAAAAAAGCATACGAAGAATTCATATGAAATTTGTATCTATATTAATATGGAGTTTAATTTACAGCTTCCCAAAGGTACGCATCAGTGGTCAAGTTTTCTAACTTCTGATGAACTGGTCTTGATCTTGCAGCGAGCTTCCATTTCAGTAAGTATAAACTGATTTCAACAACCTAATTAAATTGTGCGGCATGCATTAACATTTGTTTACTTGTGTATCTTTCACAACATATATGATGAGTTTTCAATGGTTTTCAATGGTTAGTTTCTATGATGGTTACCCATCAAATATAGGAATCATTAATATTTGATGATGTGACTTGATAAAAATTTAATATATATATATACATATATACGTATATAGATATAAAAAGACTTTTGCTAATTGGGTGGCTTTTTGCAGGTCAAAGAGATGGCTGGATTTGCTTACAACCCCTTGACAGGAAGATGGTCTCTTTCTGATGACATCAGTGTAAATTTCATTGCATATGGTACAAAAACAACCTCCGAATAAATATCTGAAGAATTTTGCTGTTGGTTTTTTCTTTTGTTTCTGAATATGTGAAATGTTTCGATTAAAGAGATTATTTCACAACCTGTTGTTCATCTACTTTTTTTTTATAAGCATGTTCATCTACATTTTTCCTGTCTAAAAGGCACAATCGTCTTTGTTTCGCAAAACAAACGTTTGTCGTTCATATAAATAACATTGAAATGAGGATTTTTTTTCTTTTTAAAGAATGATTGAATTGTATGAACAGATACACACAGAATACAGAACGTAACGTGATCGAATTATCCTTGGGAATTGAGATTGATAAAGAAAACGGAATTTTACATCATCCGTTATCCCGTATCGTTATCTTCTCGTGCTGAGAATTTATTTATTTTATAACTAAAATGGAGCTCCCCAAGACCACCAAATCGTCGCATTATCTTCTCGTGAGAATGTATTTATTTTATAACTAAAATGGAGCTTCCCAAGACCACCAAATCGCCGCATTATGGCGGGACCCCAACACAACAGAGAAACACGTCACATGCCAATCCTTATTATATCCAACTAAAAAAAACATATTTTATTAAAATTTTGATTCTTTTCTCAGCAATAAGTAATTTTTAGTTTAGTTGAATGCTTATGCTATGGTTTTTTTGAACTCCTTGTCCGTCAATAACCCATGTTTTACCAAAAGAAAATGAAAAAAAAATCCTAATTTTGAGAAGAAAACCTTATCTGAATTTGCACAAACCATAAAAGGGTTAACAACCCAACTCCTAAATGCACCATGATTACATAATGGCCAGTGAATAATTCACCGTCCAAACTTTGAGGGTTGGTGTAACAGTCACACATATAATTTGCTTTCCACGTGATATGAGATTGAAGATTCAATGCCTAAGGAGTGGAGGACCGCAACAATTATGTCGCTTGGGGGAGGCCCCAGTTTCCAAAATCCCCCCCCCCCCCCTTTGGGTTTTTTAAAAAAAAAAAAAAAAAAAAAAAAAAAAACTCCCACGTGGGTTTATGATAATAATAACAATAATAATAATAATAATAATAATAATAATAATGATAATCATCCTAAGTCTGTTTAAGGAGTTATAAGATCAATCCTTTCACTGTTTAGGAAATAAACAAAAAACACAAAGAACATTAAAGTTTGTCAAAATATGTGAAGATACGGGTTTTTCCCCCTTTTTTTTTTCATGGAATACATACATGCTAATACTTTTTTCGTAGTTCGTACGTAAGCTCAGGTTTATTTCTTTAAAAAAGAAAAAAGCTCAGACTCTTTTTATAGCTTTACGAAAAAAATAAATAAATAATGATTTTCGTCAGGTCAGCTACAGTTTACAAATAGCTCTCCCAATCCGTTCCAATTAGAGGTGTCAAACGTGTCGTGCCGAGTCGGCACGTCCAATACCAAGCCCGTGACGAGCCTGGGTCGGGCCTGGTATAGTCCTGCTTAGTGCAGGGTCGTGCCTGAGCCGAGCCTGAGGAGAAAAATTCAGGCCCGGTCTAAGCCGGCAGCCCTAGTCCATAAGGGCCTGGGCCCAGGCTCTTCACGGGACAAAACCTGTGATTTTATTAAATTAACATAATATGAATAAGTACACATAAATGACTGCCTCGTTAAAAACCTTGCCAAGTAAACCAATGGGGAGATCGGGACAAAACTTAGCGAAGGAAAAAAGAGTGCAGTAGGAATAGTAAATTACAAACCTAAGTGCTTTCAGAAGATTCTGTTATTTCTAAGTTAGAAAAATATTCTTGCATTGAATCATCCGTGTATTGTTGTTTTCGTCTTCTGGCATCTTCCCAGTCTTTAACGCACAGTAGTCCCTCCAAGATATCTGAATGCATTCTGTTTCTCTTCTCGTCAAGAATTCGGTTGCTTGCGCTAAATGCTAGCTCTGATGCTACCGTTGACACTGAAATTGTTAAAATGTCATGAGCTATTACGAAAGTGTTGAAAAACGATCGGTCTTGCTCTTCCACCACTGTAAGATATCTAGTTTGTCGTCATCGATTACAAAATTTGCTTCAAAATATTTTACTAGTTTAGTAGACGCTTGTGTTGATGACAATCCTGCCGTTTTCTCTTTCTTCTTCAAGAAACTCCACGACGATCCTTTATGCCCCGAACTGCTAGTTGACGTCGAAGTTTCCTGTTCTTTTTTTACCTGTGCCGTATTTTGCTTCATACAAACTAAATACCTTTTCTAACATTTTCTTAGCGTCAGTAATAGTTAGTTGCATATCAATTCCTCCTGCGTTCACTGGTGGGGGTGGGGTTGGGAGTTAGTTGCAATTTTCTTAGCGCAAGAATTTCCATTTCACCTGTTTTTGGATTTGGTCGGGGCTCCTCGGTGAAATGCTGTCATGCCGGAGAAGTTCACGGTATTTTTTCCTTGCTGCGTTCTCCAGCTTCCTCGCTGTGCGCTGAAGCATTATCTATCGGAGCATTTTCTGGTTCAGTGGAGGTGGGGTTGGGAGGCATCATTTCATCCTCGAAAAATTGCTCATCACCAAGCTCAGGAAGAGCAGTGAAATCAGGGAAGTTTGATGCGGCCATTTTTTAAAAATTGATTGAACTTAAACTTTGTAAATGAAACAGTAAGAAAATGAGTGATCGCGAGGAAAACAACTTACGCCCTGTTCTTTTCGCTGATTCGAGTTTCGCTACAGTAAAAAGCTCTCAGAAACAGTCACATCTAACTTTTTTGCTACAGTAAAAAGCTCTCACACAACATCACATATCAACTCGAAGTAAAAACTCGAATTAGCGAACTGAACGGGCCCTTAGAATCAAAATCAAAGAGACAAGATGAGAGATTGAATGAGAGTGAGATGAGAAGTTGAGAGTGAATTGTTGTGTGGGATTTAGGGTGAAATTAAAGGGGTAATTATAAGAGACTTTTTGGACCATTTTTGGATTGTGACCATTGGGCCCTTCGCGGGCCCAACGGTCGCCCCGTGATGGGCCTAACGGGAGGCCCGTCAAGGGGCTAAACGGAAGGCCCGTCACGGGCCAACCGTTGAACCCGCGAAGGGCCCAGCAGTTACATTTAGAACGGTCTGCGGGCCGTTTGGCGGGCTTGGGCCGGGCCGAACAAGGGCCGAATCCGGGCTTGGGCCGAATTGGGCTTGGGCTGGGCCGTAACCCATTATATGTGCCGGGCCAGCACGGTCCGTAACAGTATCGTACCGAATCGTGTCGAATCTGATATTATTACGGACTGGGCCGGGCCGTCCATGAACGGCCGGCCCATTTGACAACTCTAATTCCAGTTAAAAAAAATAAAAATAGCTCCCCATTTTACCAAAAAACTAATAAAAAGCACTTTCTCCTTTTTTGTTTCTTTTGTTTCGATTCTCTCATAGCCCGATCCTGTTCAATTTCCTTGAGAAAGAAAGAGAAATTTGAAAAAAAAATGTCAAGAGTCGCAGAATTCCCAGTCACGGCACGAGCCCGCTTGGCCGTGCTCTCGGCTCACCTCGCCGGCGCGTCGCTCGAGCCGACCGAGCTCTTCGGCTCCGCCGCTCTCGAGCCGAACTGCGTCTCGGCTCAGACCTTCGTCCCGCCACCGCCGAACCTTAAGGGCTCCTTGACCGTCGTCGACGAGCGGACGGGTCGGAGTTACCAGGTCCAGGTCTCCGACGAAGGCACCGTCAAAGCCACTGATCTCAAGAAGGTTTTATTTTTCCGCCATAACCGACCAAATTCGACAGATTTTTTTCTTTTTTCTGAAAAAAGTTCCGATCTTTGGTGTTTTATGTGGAATTGAAGAATCGCGATTGTGAGTTTTGCAGATAACGACGGGAAGGAATGACAAGGGGCTAAAGCTCTACGATCCTGGGTATCTGAACACAGCGCCTGTTCGGTCGTCGATTTGTTATATTGATGGCGATGAAGGAATCCTTAGGTACAGAGGTTATCCGATCGAGGAATTGGCTGGGAGCAGCACCTTTTTGGAAGTCGCCTACCTTTTGAGTAAGTCTTGTTCTTTTTGCTTCTAGAAGTTTCTGATTTCTTTAATCTCGTTTGGTAATGGAATGTATCAAGGATGTAGTTAATCATGTTTGGCAGAGATTTTTGACCTAGAAAATGCCGTTTTAGTGTCTTAATTTTTCAATTAAAAATGCTACAAGAGCGTGGCTTGACGTTTTTTGAGTATTTCATACCAAGTTACTGAACTTTTTGCAGTAAAACGGAAAGTTGAATATTGGGTTAAGTGAGTGGGAAAATTAGTGGAGGTTTTTATGGGAATTGGTAAAAATTGAAGCTAAATTATAAATTACTGAAGATTGGTTAATTTTCTCTCTAGGTACTCTCAGGACTAACATTATATTTGCATTAGCGTTATGTGAAATTATTTGCGTTTTTCATGGATGTAATTTGATATATTTTTGTTGGTTGAATAAAATGAGATTCTGTAAGAATAAAATTTAGCAGTATGGAACTAGCTTATAAATCACTAGATTGTAAATTTAGCAGTATGTAAGAATACAAATTGAAGCTAAATTATAAATCACTGAAGATTGGTTAATTTTCTCTCTAGTTACTCTCAGACTTCCATTATATTTGCATTAGCGTTATGTGAAATTATTTGCGTTCTTCATGGATGTGATTTGATATATTTTTGTTGGTTGAATAAAATGAGATTCTGTAAGAATAAAATTTAGCAGTATGGAACTAGCTTATAAATCACTAGATTATAAATTTAGCAGTATGTAAGAATAAAAATTGAAGCTAAATTATAAATCACTGAAGATTGGTTAATTTTCTCTCTAGTTACTCTCAGACTTCCATTATATTTGCATTAGCGTTATGTGAAATTATTTGTGTTCTTCATTGATGTAATTTGATATATTTTTGTTGGTTGAATAAAATGAGATTCTCTAAGAATAAAATTTAGCAGTAAGGAACTAGAGCTGACTTTTCTTCTCTTGGTCTCAGATGAATCAGTAATTATTGTCCTCACAGGATTGTCTTTCTTTGCATTTAAAAGCAATGTTATCTTGTGCTATGCAATCATTTATGATTATTTTTTTTTTTCCTTTCAATTTTCCAGTGTATGGGAATTTGCCTTCTCAAAGTCAGTTAGCAGACTGGGAATTTGCTATTTCTCAGCATTCCGCTGTACCACAAGGAGTCTTGGTGTGTTCTTCTTTCTTGCTTATACAATCATAAGACTTTTCTAAGCCTAGACTTTTGTATTTGTGTTGGTAATCACTTCATCTAGTTTCTCTGGCGGAGAATCTATTATTATGGCATCGGACCATGGTAATGGTTACACCAAATTTTGTTAGGAAAAGTCACCTGTCTGTCACAAAGTATAAGAACCATCATAATTTGCTGCATATCTTTCATGCTTTGATTCCAAGATTGTTGTTAGTAGGAGCAAATTTTATGGTCTAATTGATGTTTTTATTTTGGTTTTACAGGATATTATACAGGCAATGCCTCATGATGCACATCCTATGGGTGTGCTTGTCAGTGCCATGAGTGCTCTTTCCGTCTTTCATCCTGATGCCAACCCTGCCCTCAGAGTAAGACGATTATTCTTTTTCCCTCTTAAACCGGTGTTAGAAGCATACTGTCTAAATCTCTAATAAATTGTTTAGACCTTGCATATATTGTTGTATCATCTTGTTTGTAACTGGAAGTTGAGTTCATTTATAGTAACTTATTCTATGTTCATGTAGGGCCAAGATCTTTATCGCTCAAAACAAGTGAGAGACAAACAAATAGCACGAATTCTCGGGAAGGTTTGCTGCCTTCATTTTTTCCCTTTCTTTTAGCTTTGAGCTTTTAGCAAAGCATTTCAATTAGTATTTGCGTTATTGCGTCTTTATTTTCAGGCACCAACAATTGCAGCCGCTGCTTATTTAAGACTGGCAGGAAGACCACCAGTTCTACCTTCTAGCAATCTTTCTTATGCAGAAAACTTCCTATACATGCTAGATTCACTGTATGTTCTACTGGAATCTATCGTCCCCATATTTGGAGAATGTTGGTTTTTTCTTTTTCTTTTTTTTTTTTTTTTGTTTTTTTTTTTTTTTTTTTTTTTTTTTTTTTTTTTTTCCTGCAGCCCTGGTTTTATTCTTTTTAATAGGCCATATCTGTTGCCTAAATATGAATGCCACTTGATAAATATTTTTTAATCCAATAATGTGACATAATTAGAGGATAAACGTCTTCTGTGTGAAATTTGTCCAACTGAGGAAATATGTAGTTTGGTAACTTATAATCTCTTTCCACAAACTTGCAGAGGCAATAGGTCTTACAAACCCAATCCTCGACTTGCTAGAGTTCTAGACATTCTCTTTATACTGCATGCAGAACATGAAATGAACTGCTCTACAGCTGCGGCACGGCATCTTGCATCAAGGTAGGCAAGTTTCTCATCATTGAACTAAAGAAGCATCGTCTAAATTCCTTTATGACATACCTTCTTTTATACTTGCAGTGGTGTTGATGTTTATACTGCTCTTGCTGGTGCTGTCGGGGCTCTGTATGGTCCCCTTCATGGTGGGGCCAATGAGGTATGCAAAATATAACGCGTCATTGTCATTACTGTAGCTTCTCAGAATTGTACTGAACGTAGAGTTCAAGATGCACAACATACAAGGGTTTTCTATTTTTGGTTAAAGCTCGTGCATTCCTACGTCAATCATTTTCTTTGTATGTTAATAGTTTGCGCGCCTATGAAAAGTAGCCTCATGTTTCTTTCGTTGGCTTTTTAAAGGCTGTGCTCAAGATGCTTAGTGAGATTGGAACTGTTGAAAACATTCCAGACTTCATCGAGGGTGTGAAGAACAGGTGAATTTTGCTTATTTCTAATAGTTCATCCAGCAAACAGGTTATGTGGCCTTCTTCATATGTTATGATCCTTTTGTCTAACTTCTTTGACAAACTCATTCTCCAGGAAGCGAAAGATGTCAGGTTTTGGGCATCGTGTGTACAAAAACTACGATCCAAGAGCGAAAGTCATAAGAAAGCTGGCAGAGGAAGTATTTTCAATCGTTGGTCGTGATCCCCTTATTGAGGTGGTTTTGAGTCATTTATTGCTTTCCTTTAATATGACAATAGCTAGTTTCATCATCCATTATTTCAGAAGCAACTCGTTAAACAGTTGAAAGATATCTTAGTAGCTTCACTTTTATTGTAAGCCTTTCTAAAGTCTTGACTCTAAAGATATCAATAGACTTGCTAGCTAGATGGCTTCTTTTATCTTAATCTGTCTTTGAGGAAATAAATAATTCCTTGATGGCGAGTAGTTCTTACGCATCTGCTGTATGTAGGTAGCTATTGCTTTGGAGAAGGCTGCACTATCTGATGAGTACTTTGTTAAGCGAAAACTATATCCGAATGTTGATTTCTACTCTGGGTTAATATATAGGTAAGATTAGGTACAAGTCATACAACTGTGAACTTTTCTTCATTAAGCATACAACTGGTCAAGAAAGTGCTAAGTTTCTATTTTATCAGGGCAATGGGATTTCCACCTGAGTTCTTCACTGTCTTATTTGCAATTCCCCGAATGGCTGGGTACCTTGCACACTGGAGGGAGTCCCTAGATGATCCCGACACAAAAATAATGAGACCACAGCAGGTACTCCACGCTCAAAACCTTTTTATGGCCAATTGGCAGGTTTTCATGAATCGTTGCTTGATAGCAATCATTGCCTGCAATTCAAGCTTTTTATTCGATGCTTCTGATTTCCCACTACTATGTAGTAGTCTTACCGATCTGCATGATCTTTCAGGTTTACACAGGGGTCTGGTTGCGGCATTATATGCCTCTGCAAGAACGGATCTCCTCAAACGAGGCCGACAGGCTCAGTCAGGTCTCTGTTTCGAATGCTTCTAGGCGTCGGCTGGCTGGATCTGGCGTTTAATTCTTTAACTAGGTCCATGTAAAACCAACTATCACAAGGGAAAGGAAAAATAGATTCATGAAAAGCTCGTAGCCAGGAACACGATATTTATTATTATTTTTTTCCTCCCATCTTTGGACAGAAACATTTGCTGCTTTCCACATAAAAATAAGCCTATATTAGAAGCAGTATTTATGCAGGTTGTAGGTTTTTATATGTATGCCACCTTAAATAAGTGGAATATTGTTCTCTGCGTGTATTGCCGTTATGCCAAATTAATGGCTTGGTTTTTCCATTATAATGAAAAGGTGTTGGTCGTCTTTATGCTTTTAACCATTGAGTACAAAGGAATCCAGTAATCTGTGAACTGTGCTCTAGGGCGCGCCTTTAGATTCAACTACATTCTGTTGGAAAACGTGGTTTTTTTACCATGTTAAGTGGACATTTTGAAGCTATTTTTTAAGTGGGCTCCACAGTTGAAGATCAAAGTGGGGTCGAGTTTTTTTCCGTGAGATCTTTGAAGCGGTATATTACACGCTCAAAATGGTGTTAGGGTGAATGAGAAATTGAATACATCCGTTATGTAGAAAGTTAAAAGGAAAAACTCTTGTCCCACATGGGAAAGGAATTTAAGTTTTATGGTGCTTATATAGGATTGCACATTGGTTATTGGGTAAATTAGGGTTCGTTTTAAAGGCATGTTTAAATTATAATTTTTGATTTTGATGTTTGAAATTTAAATTTTTTATGAGAGAAAAACACTGCATAGAAAGCGTGTAAATTTTAAGCCGACGAGGGACAATCCAAATAACTCGTGTGCGAGTGCATGTCCTGGAGGCATGAATGTTGAACCACTGCTGACGATCCTTGTCTCATATTTTCCGTTTATAAATTGGATATGTTGCATATTATGGTAGCAATTAAAATGAATTCAAAGTTGTTTTTCAACTATCCTCAATTGAATTTTCTAACATTCTTAGTGATGGTTGAAGTTAAAGCCTGTTTAGAAGGTATACTCAAACCATGATTTTTAATTTTGACGTTTGAAATTCAATTTTTTTGAGAGAAAAACACTGTAGCAGATTTAGTGATTTGAGTTTGAGTATATGAAATAAATGGATCCCTAGTAAGCAAAAGGGCTCTCTTAAGCACCCAAAAAGCGTGCAAATTCCAAGCCGACGAGGAACGATCCAAATGACTTGTGTGCGACCGCGTGTCTTGTGGGCATGAATGTTGCACCACTACCGATCCTTGTCTCATATTTTCTGTTAATAAATTGGAGATGTTGCATTTTATGGTAGCAACAACAACAACAACAACAACAACAAGCCTTAATCCCAACTAATTGGGGTCGGCTATATGGATTTCATTTTTCCACACAACTATATTCGAAATTAAACTTTTTTAAAGGGCTAGATCTAGAATGTCTTTCTTAATGACTTCGGTCCACGTAATTCTTGGTCTACCCCTCCCTCTCCTAGTATTAGGTATAAGAATGTTCTCCCAAGCACGAACTGGTGCTTCTAGCGATCTACGTTAGACATGCATGTACCACCTTAAGTGGCCTTCACGTACCGTACCTTATCTTTTATTGGTGCTACACCTACTTTACTACAAATAACTTCATTTTTTATACGATCCATTCTCGTATGGCCACTCATCCATTTTGAATTAAAATAAATTCAAAGTTGTTTTTCAACTATCCTGAATTTTCTAGCCTTCTTAGTGATTGTTGAAGTTGGAGAGATAGACTTCACATCTTTGCAAGGCCAAATTTATGTCACTAGCCCCCAATAGATTCAATGCTTCATGCTCCGTTCTTACGGAGCCTAAATTATTTTTAGGTGTGTTCATTTACACAACTTAAGTCATGATTTGAGTTGTGTATGTAAGAGAAAAATATTAGAATAAAAAATTGAATTTGAATTTATGTGAGAGAAAACACTGTAGCAATATGACTTGAGTCATAACTTGAGTTGTGCAAATCAACACACTTATTTTATTTAGACAACATTGTAAATTATAGGGAAATTCTATTAGGGTGTGTCCATACCCACTCACTTAAAAATTTCTTATTACAAAAAAATCTTTAAATAAAATGACAAAAAAGACAATAGAATTAATTATCAAATTAATTTTATTACAAAAAAAAAACTAGAAAGTATTTTTTTCTCCCACACACCCTACACATCATATTCTAAATTCTAAATTATTTCTATTTCAATTATCCGTAACAAATAAGTTTCACGTTTTCAAGGACTCTTCTAAAAAATTAGGTGGAGGTAGTTCAAATTTCTTTACTATTTGTTATATGGAGATTGTTTTTTCTTTTTTTTTTTTTCTTTTGTTTCTCGTTTTGTGTTCATATTTATTTGCTAATCAATTTTTTTTAAGCAAATCGTTTCACTTTTTTTTTTCCTTTTTTTATAATGTTCGACTACCGGATTTTTTCTATTTGAAGTTTTTTGTTTCCCTATTGAATTAAAATTTTTTTTTCTATATGCCTAAAGTAAACAAATATAAATAATATTAAAGTGATAAATTAACTTACATGGGGTGCTTAGTTAGAAGGGGTGTGAAGAATAAAGATGTGGTGTGTAGAGAAAAAGAAGGGGGTGTAAATAAAACTATCTTTTAATAGTTTTAAATAGTTAAGGGTAATTTTCAAATAATAAGGATGTATAGAAATAAAATTTAATCATTTAAAAATTATGATATGTGTACAGTTAGAAGAGGATGTTGAAAGTAAAAAAAGAGTGTGAATAAAAGCACTGATCCTATCAATAAGGATAAATTATAGGAATATTTACATTTTTATACCTTATGTTTTAAATTTATTCAAAATTTATACATTCGGGTTTTTATCTCATTAAATGTATACTTTTAAATTAAATTTAATATACAAATATATCTCTTATCTCAGTCAATAATTGATTTTAATCTTTAAAATGAATAAACTATCCTTAAGAAAAAGAGAGAAAATAAAACAAACTTTCCAATATTACAAAAATTAAAAATTAAAAACACAAAAAAACCATTTCAATGGTATTTTGAATATTTTTAAGGTCAAAACAGTAAGTTTAAAGTTTTTTTTTTTAGTTTTTCTTTTCTTTTTTTTATTTTTATTCAAGGGTACTTTATGTATTTTATGCTTAAAATTGAGGATTGATGGTGAAAATTTATAAATTTAGATATTAAATCTAATTTGAAGGTATACGTGATAAAAAAATAAAATTATAATTTTTGAATAAATCCATATAAAAATGTAAATATCTCTAAATTATAAGTTCCCTTCAATGTGAGAAACTGTATCTGAAATTTAACCAAATTCAATGAAAGAATGCTTTTTTTTTAAATGATGATTGAATCATTATTGCAATTAAAAACTTAATTCAATGAGATTTTGTATTTTTGCCCATAAAATTAAAGTGAGACCAAATAGTTATTTATTTAAGAATTTAGAGGCATGCAACACCATCAATCTCTAATTAATAAATATAAGTTTTATCAAAATTGAGGGGTTAACTTTTTTAACAACACTATTTAGAAAATAGTAATTTAGTTTTTGATTATTTCTTTACATCACCAAGGCATTAGTAATTATAAATACACTACCATTAGAATAATTATTATAATTGCTATATTATTTATCATTATATTATACATATACTAAATGAAAGGACGAGATTCACTGTTAATGCTACAGTGCAATGAACAATGTCTTTCCCATTTTAGCCTTGCTTTTTTCTTCTGATGAATTTTTTATTCCCGTTATGTCATTTTGAGTGTGAATTTACTATATTGCCCTCTAGTTCATCTTTTTTTGTTTTTGTTTGCTCTGACCGTTTTGGTCATTTACACTCAGAATGAGTGTTTTATTTTGGCTTTTTTTTGTTTGTTGCCTTTTGAATTGTTTTTGTTCCCTTCTGTAGTCATTTATCTCTTTCTCTTTCCTTTGTTTTGTTCTGCAACCTTCTAGACCTCTTTTTTTTTTTTTTACTCAGATTGTGTTTTTTTTTTCTTGTTCGTTTGTTGGTTTCTACGATTTTTTCTTCCCTTCTTTCTGCAGTCATTTATCTCTTTCGTTTGTTTTATTCTGCAACCTTCTAGAGCTCTTTTTTTTCACTTAGATTGAGTTTTTTTTTTCGTTTGTTGGTTTCTACGATTTTACCTTCTTCATATGTGTTTTTATTTCTTTGTTTCTGCAGCAACATTTCTTTCTTCCGTCTGTTTTCTTCTGCAACCTTCTAGATCTGTTTTTCTTTTTGCGCACTTAGATTGAGTGATTTTTTTTTTCTTTTTTGTTCGTTGGTTTGTATGATTTTCTAGATCTGTGTTTCTTTTTCTTTGTTTCTAGATCTACTTTTTTCTCTTCCATTTTTAGGTTTTTTTTTTCTTTTTCGTTCGTTGGTTTCTACGATCTTCTAGATCTGTGTTTCTTTTTCTTCGTTTCTGGATCTACTTTTTTCTCTTCCGTTTGTTTCCTTCTGCAACCTTCTAGATCTCTCCATTTTGGGTCAGATTTCTTTGTTTCTCATATTTCTTCTTTCTGCAACCTTCTAGATCTTTTTTTTTTTCCATTTTTGGACTAGATTTATTCGTTTTTCATCTTCTTTCTTTTTGCATATATATTTTTGGATGTTTTATGTTTTATTTTTTTATTTTTCTTTGGTTGTATATGCATGGTCCTTTTCTCTTTCCTTGCGCCATTTGTTATCTTCATCTTTGGTTTGGTCAATTATTTTTGTTTAGATTTGATAGATTTGGTCATTTGTTTCAAATCTATGTTCTTATCCATTTTTTTTTGGCTGTTTGGTCGTTTAATTCAGATCTATGTTTTTACACCTTATTATATTCCTCTGTTTGTTTTAGCTTTGTTGATTTTCTGGCTGTCGATTTTCCGTTCATTTTTACAGTCATTTTTCCTAGTTTTCTTTTTATGATTTTTGTGGGTATTTTGGATTTTGTTGTTTTGTTTATGTTTTTTAATTTAGTTGTTATTCGACCGTTATATTTGCGAAAAAAATTTTACTTTTTTTTTTCATAATTTCAAATTTTTTTACCCATGTTATTTATTTTTTTGTTCCTGTTTTTATTTACTATATTTTGATTTCTTCGTATTTTTTTTAAATATCATATCTGAATTTGAACAAATCTCTAATATTTGTCGTGATCTAAATGTAATAATATTTATGTTAATCTTTTACTCTGACACGTGTATTTTTTATATTTCTGTTTTGTATAATATGTATCCAAAATATAACTGTCTATTATTTATTGGTTACATTTTGCAGTGGTCTTCATGCAATGTGACGGCTGTTGTTAATTAATCA